TATGCTTTCGTTCATCATATCATGGACATCATCAACTCTTGTAAAGTCTCATATTAACTCTAGGTTAAGAAGACTACCAGGTTTTGTCTGAAGCCTCACTAGATTTAATATACTCATAACTAAAAGTGAAAATGTATAAATATATGTAGAATGGTTTATCCAATTCCCTTTCATATTTGTCATGGTAGTTAAACTTTAGTGTGTGTAGACTAAGGAAGAATTTATTAATCAATTTATCCAGTTTAACTCTGGAGGATAATGTTGATCTTGTATTGGAAAAAGGATTGAATTTTGCTCTTCCAAGTAATCTAAACCATTCTCCATACAAACGTGTGAATTAATTAGATTATCTGATGGTCTGGAGAGGTAAATAATAGTATTAAGTTGGAATTAATTCATTATTTTTACCAAACAATCAGGTCAAAGCAGTCTTGAGTTCTCAATAGGGTTTCTGGATATTCAAGTCGCAATAACTTGATTGTTATGAAAGCCGACAAAGGTTGAATATTGAGAGTAATGTTTAGGTCAAGTTATGTAAAAAAAAAGGCTAGCTCATTTAAATGAGACTGACACGTAAATGCTTTAATAAGATCCAATAAAGACTAGGCTGAAGGATATCCTTAAGGTATGCGTTTGTAATGATGAAAGGAAGAAGTAGAAAATGAATTAATTACTCCATAGAGATGCAAGAGCCCCTACGGCTTACGGTCTTCCTAATGTTTACAATGAGGATGTCCCTCTTAGATTAATTGTAAATAATAAAAGAAGCGTAATGCATAAAATCTCAAGTTATTTATGCATACAACTGCGAAAGACTGCTGATTTTTAGCCATATTCAGTTAAAAATTCTCGTGGGTTTGTAAAATTCAGAGGATAGACTAGTAACTTATGGTGTTGTGCCTATGTACACAAATAGTCCTGTTCAAGGAGCCATTCAGGCTCTAGCACAAACTATGGAGCATCCAGAGCTGATACGTTTGATTGACAGACACAAAAGCTTGCGATAGAACCTTGCTTAGCTCCCATAATTGCGACAAAACTTTATGGAAACGTCGGCTCCACTCATATCAGTTGTAAAAGTCTACTACCGTTCCTTCATCACCTTAAACGGAATAAGGTAAATACATCGCTTAGACTAGAATTAAAATAGCAAATTTTCATTGTGATAGCATCCACGAAGGTGGTTAAAATAAAAAAAGCTTGATGAATTGACCGCCTCGGGCTAAAACACTGCCCATAAATTGGCCTAAAGCGAAGGCGTAACCTTACTGAATAATAACTAACCTGAGTAGAAAATGCAGTTGTGCCAGCTGAAGGACCATTAGGGCCTGTAGACCTAGAAGCCTCTTGAGTTAGCGTAGCCAGAATCTCACGACATGCAAGAAGTTGCTGAGCTGCAGCCAAACGCTCAGATTGGCTTTTCTCCCGAGGTGGGTCAGAATCTGAAATGGCTTTAGAAGACTGTCTCTTGACAAGCCTACTCATTAATGGTTCGCGTTTGGGAAACACCAAGTTCCAAAGTAAATTAGAATCTGCATTACCGGTGCCGGTTTTATGGAAGCAAATTCGCAGACGAGCCACAGTAGCGATTTGCAGTAAAGTCTCTAGACCTCGGCAAAACAGCACCTAACGTAATGATTGTTGTTGTAAATAAGCAATAAAAAAGCAGTAAAGTTAGACAGTCGTTGAGTTAACACAAAAATCCTACGTGGCTATCAATACTAGATATAAAAGTATCAACATGAGAATTTTTTCAAGAATCGATCAGTCAAGGATTCAGTCAAAAGTGAGACTAGGAAGAAATTTTAATTGTAGATACACAAAGCGCTAAAATTAAGTGAGAAAAGCCACCAGAAAAAGCAATCAGATTCACTTCCATTAGGATTTACCTAGCCAGATAACCGAATGCACAGCTCAAACGAAATTATCCAAGAGTGGTTCTAAAAATGAATATTAAAACGTCGTAAACACCTAGATGAAATTTGAAATACTATAGCGGACTCATGAACTTACAAGGCTTCTTTTAGGCCAGAGCTTGATCTTGAAAACTTATAAAAACTTTTTCCCCCTAAATGTTAAAATAACCAAATTTCTAAATCG